ACCTGAATGTTAATTATGATAATTTGGTTGGTTTTGGCTAGCAGAATAACTCAGGACGCGCATTTTGTCCTGTTTGGAGCTCGTCAGCTGGATGTACCCGGACCCCAGTCAGTGATATTGTTCCCACTAGGAATCGAACCTCGTACCCATCGCTTCAAACGTCGAGGCGTTATCCACTATATCATGGAGGAACAATAGACACTTCTTGTACAAAACGGGTAGTAGTTATTACTATTTATGGACATACTTGTTATTCTCCGCTGTTTGTTGTGTTGGGTGAGCATATGGTCCTCTGCGCGGATACCTCACTACTGCCTGAATCTTAATTAGGATAATTTGGTTGGTTAGTGATAACACATTTTCGTCACGCTTCTTTCCATATCTAACTTTTTCTTAGTCCTGTCACCCTTCTCACTTTCTTTAATTGTATTGGTAGCAAGGTTTTCCATATCTCTAGTATAGATGGGTGTTACATCATTCCTTTTACACGTGTGTTCGGTGAGTGGGTGTTGATTCGATGAACAGAGACTCAGTAATTAATACCCCCCTCTCTCTCTCTCTCCTACTATCTTATTATATTGCACTTAAGTACTATGGTTTCATCACCAACCCCTTTTGTGTGAATTCCAGTAGCCAGGGTTTTCTTCTAGATTATTGATCGTATTGGGGTCTGTCATCATTCAATAGTTGGTTGAATTCTGTAGTTCCGTTAAATCTTACTGCCACCGACCAGCTAGTTTCACCTATGTACTTGACCTGACTCATAGTCATTACATGGCAATTTGATAGATTAGATTATTTTGTTGAATTGGACCTATCGGTTCCTTCAACTGGCGGACAAAGATTATCACTCAGTGAATTTGTAGAGGAGCCTACGTTGAAATTTCTAATGCACCTTCCTTGGAAAGGTAAGACAATGGAGGCTATGAACTCCTTTCTAATCATATTGTCGTTATGATTCATACTCGTGTTGTGCTTCACTTCTTTGTTTAGGTCCTTGAACTGACTGGTTAGTTTTCTGGCTCTATCACTTAGACATTTCAGTGAATCTGCCTTCATTGACTAACACTGAATGAGATGACCGGAAGTCTAGATACCCACCTGTTAGAATGTATCGGTTTGCTGTAGACGGTGGTATCTAAACCACTGACGTCTGTCCTTCATTTTATCATGTTATCCAACATAGGTGATTCCCCTCCGTTCATTTTCTACCTCCTTGTTAAGTGAAAAGTGGATTGCGTCTACTAGGAAATTGTCGTTATGTTCCAATTTCAACACAATGATGAATATCTCATCCATATATCACCACCATATCTTGAGTGCAGGGTGGAACCTTTGTAACGCCAAATCTCTTCCCAACTATCCATAACTATGTTCGCTACGATTGGAGATATTGATGACCCCATTGACATCTACTCCTTCAGTTTGTCTGTATATATTTTAGCCTAAAACTTACAGACTGTGGAGGTCAGGCGAGTTCTCAGTCACTATTTAGTTGATTTCTGACTGCCTCCAGTGCCTTATAGATTAGTATTTTAGTAGAAAGGTTTGTTTTACGTCGAAACTAACCATTTTTTTTCATCCTCTTCTATACATTTAGATCGATATGGATGCTAAGTGCTTTGCTAGTTCAATATGTTGAGGGTATATCTGAAGTCAACTATCGATCTAATAGGATAACCTGGTTTATGAACCTTAACACCACCGTGAATTCCACTAGGATTATTAGTTTTAGGCATTAAATTTGACCATCCAGAGAGATTATTTGTAGTAAAGTATTTCATTGGTTATCTTTGAATTGCTTGTTTAAGTTGTGGTACTGAGTGGTTAGTATTGTAGCTTTATTATTTCAGCATTTGACCGCGGCCGGATTCGAACCAGCGACCACGGGGTTACCGGTCTGGTGTTCTACCAACTGAGCTATGAGGTCCGACTGCTGACCAGAATTTTATTTCACTGCAATCACCAAGCGTTGTATCACCCGACTACCATGTGAAGGAGATTTAGCTATGTTGGATTGCGAGATGAAACGTAAGGCAGACGTCAGTGGTTTGGAGACTACGATCGACAGGGAAACCGACACATTTCAACAGGTAAGCATCTAGACTTCAAGTTATCTCATCCAATGTCAGTCAGTGAAGGCGTGTTCACTCAAATATCTAAATGATAGAGCTAGAAAACTGACTAATCAGTACAACAACCTAAACAAAGAACTGAAGCACACTAAAATCGGGAATAAGAATCTCCAATCGATTGAGCTGGAACATGCAACAAATTGTGAGGAGCGAGAAGATAGACATACACTGTTCAACCGATGAAAAGACCCTAGAAGATTTGGATTTCGTCCATGATGATTTATGTCTAACGTCTTACATCGTAAAAACTCGAAGATCTATAGGAGAAAACTAACAAGTTGACAAAAGAGGCGAGGCGAGGCGAGGCAGCGGAGACCGGACTTCCTTCAGGTGAACGTAGAGGATACAGAGGTGATGAAGATACCCAACCAACAACAACAAGTAGAAATCAGCATCAACGGGATAAATGTGAAGGAGATTGTCTCTTTTACCTACCCAACTACCTAGATGGCAGTATCGTTTCAACCGCTGGCGGTGGCACAGGCATGGATAAAGATGTCCAAGGCAGGATTGGAAAGACACCAAGACAGACCTTCATTAATCCGAAATAATCAGTGTGGAGATCTACTGTACTTCATTTCACTGGACTCAGTATAAAGAACAAGATCTGGATTTAGTTGGGGATGGCATTTCAATTTACAAACTTATTCAGAGATTAGCTTTGCCGGTCGGCTTAAGCATTTGGTAGACCTCATTCAGCAAAAGAATCTAATCTATCAAATTGCCATGTAATGACTATGAGTCAGGTCAAGTACATAGGTGAAACTAGCTAGTCGGTGGCAGTAAGATTTAACGGAACTACAGAATTCAACCAACTATTGAATGATGACAGACCCCAATACGATCAATAATCCAGAAAATCACAAGCAACGATACAATAGAGTGGGGGATAAAACCGATATACTTAATTCCATAATACTTAGGTGGACGGAGGGAGATAGATTGATTCTAGAATTGTTGTTCATCGAATCAACTCACCCAGTCAACTCATATATAATAAGAATGACGCAACACCTACCCATACCAGAGTTATGGAAAACCTTAGTTATAGTGATAAGACGATTCCAAGGGATAATAATTTATCCTCGAAACGTCATCCTTATGTAGATGATACGACATCATTGTGCATCACATATCAAATAGACGAATGTAAGTAATATGGAGATTTGCGTAGGTACGCATCATCAGTTGGAGAAACATTGGAAACCTGGTAACAATGGATAGTCACTGTTTCCACCTAATATGAGACACCTCAGCAGTAAGCACCGACAAACTCCCAGATAACTACTCAACAACAATATTGAATGTAAGTCAAGGCTATATTGTCAACTGATTTATTATTATCATTTGTCCCTTGGGTTCCTCCTAGTGGAACACAGTGCTTCAGTAGCACGTCTACATTCCACTCTGTTCCCTGCAGTCTTTTGAACTTGCCTCCACGACTGCCCACAAGCTCTAATTTCTCTCCCACACCATCTCCTCCATGTCACACTCACCTCGGACGCCCAACTCATCGCTTCCCGTCTGGACTCCACTCGAGTGCCTGGCCTGACACATAATGTCACCGAATGGTCTTCTCAGTGCATGCCCAATCCAATCCATCTCCACTTCCTTCTGCATATTTGTTGAGTGATTGGTTCTTGGTTAGTGCGTTTCCAGAGTTCCTTGTTGCTCATTCTTATTATTCTGGCCATCTGATCTGATCTTCAGAAACGAGCCAGTGTAGGTGGCAGTTGTTGATCAATATCTGTAGTTTGTTGGAAATGCTTTTCTTAATGCGTCAACTCTCTCAACCATATAGAAGCAAGTACTGACTTGACTGAATCGGTATTGGAAATCCGGATGTTGTTCACGCTTTATGCTGAGTGCAGTGCAGTGCAGAAGATCTCCACACTGGTTTCAGGCTGATGAACGCCTGTCTTGCTGTCTTCCCGATCCTGGCTGACTTTGACATCCTCGTCTGTGCCTGTGCTGCCTGTAGTTGAAACGATGCTGCCTACACAGGTGAAGCATCACTTATAATGGAGATAAATGGAAAAAGTAATGTTGAGGTGAGAAGGGAAAATATTCTGTTTCTCTATGAGAATACAGAGGTTATGAAGATATCCAACTCAACAAATCACCATCAACGGGAGAAATGTGAAGGAAATTATCACTTTCACCTACGTACTTGGCTAGGCGGCATCGTTTCAACTACAGTCGGCTTTACAGTCACAGATGAGGATGTCAAATCTAGGATTGGAAAGACAGCAAGACAGGCTTACCTTGATTAATCTGAAGTATTCAGTGGGGAGATCTACTGCAAGCAGCATAAAGAACAAGATCCGGATTTAGTTGGGGGTGGCATTTCGATTTACAAACTCATTCAGATATTAGCTTTGCCGGTTGGCCTAAACATCCGATAGACCCAATTCAGCAAAATAATCTAATCTGTCAAATTGTCATGTAATGACTGTCAGTCAGTTCAAGGATATAGGTGAAACTAACCGGTCGTTGTCAGTTAGTTTAGGGGAACATAGGAATTCATCTAAATATAGAATGACATACCCGAGCACGATCAATGATGTAGAGAAACATCCGCAACCGTAGAAAAGGGGTTTGGGTTGAAACCAACATATTGATGTGGTGGGAGCGGGGAGATTGATTACTGTAAGTTTGTTCATCGAATTAACGCAGATGTTGAAAAAGGAATTGTGTAACACTTCTGTGTACGAGAGAAGAGGAAGAAGAATCTTACTCAGTTGAGTGATGATCCTATGAGTATGTTTCTCATGGAAGCTATTAAACCACATCCGTATATGTTCTCTTTAAATGAACAGTATTTTTTTAATCGAACATTTAAAAAAATTATTTTCATTTTTTTAGGCAATGAGTATTGACGAAATTTTACAACAAATTCGTGATATGTATGGGGATCATAGCTTAGCTGTTGTTGAAGATGAAGATACAGATGGAGATCCTGATTTACCATCAAATACATATTCTCACCGGGTAAGTTAATTGATTTATATTGAATTCTAATGAATATTGTTGTCACTGTTGATCACTCAGGTCATCGTTGTTGCCATGCTAGTTACGAGAAGTTAGATTGAACTGTAGGATGGTTCAAGGTGGCTAAACCAAGACATGACAATAATCGATTGATTGTATCTTTCTGTCATACTGGACATACTCGACAGGGAGGTCAACCTCTGAACGGATATTAGTTTGTCTTTCAGACTGATGATTTGTGTCGCTGATGAGTGTTGGTAAGTGCGAAACGTCGGTGGAGAATAACTTCTTGCTTTAAATCATTTAGCATCAAGTGAAGTTTATGTTTTGGAGATTTTGTTTTAATTAGACATTTAAATCCCTCCGATCAGTAGTAGTTATGAGGTAGGCATCGTATAGCCACTTGACATAATGTAGAGCAAGTTCATTCGTGTAGGATAGACATGCAGTTGTAACAGATGAAATCATCCATGAATGACTCTGATTAGCGTCCAAGATCTTGAGAACAAATCGCATCGAAGCATAAAAACTAACCGAGAAACCATGCCGCAAACTGGGTGGACATGGATATGATCTCGGTTTATCTGACTCGACTCATAGAATCAATTTTTCTCTCAAAGTTACTGATTCAATTTACTTACATTGTTCAATTGGTGTTCACCAAATAAGAGCACTCTGGATTGTAGTGCTTTATTGAGACAGCACATGATTTACCTTAGTTCGCTGACTCATTGGTCTATGCAGTTGGCTATCAACCAATGGAATATGGCTTTGACGCAGATGAAGACATCAAAGCCAGGATCAGAGAGACAGCCTGAAACCAATGTGGAGATCTACTGCCCTCAGCATGAAGCGTGAACAAGATCCAGATTTTGAACACTAATTCAGTCAAGCTAGTGCTTTTATGTGGTTCAGAAGCTTAGGACGTTACGAAAAGCATTTCCAGCAAACTACAGATATTTATCAACAGCTGCCTACGCTCGTTACTGAAGATCAGATGGCCAGAATGAATAAGTAACGAGGAACTCTGGTCTGGCAACGAACCAACTGAGCGTGAAGCTATCGCCCAACAAATATGCAGAGGAAGAAAATGGAGATGGATTGGGCATAAACTGAGAAGGCTGATTTGGGACATAAGGTGTCAGGCCAAGCCGTCGAGTGGAATCCAAATAGGAAGCGATGAGTTGGGCGTCCTAGCTGAGGGTGACATGGAGGAGATCGTATGAGGAAGAAATGAGAGCTTGTGGGCTGTTGTGGAGCCAGGTTCAAAAGATTGCAGATAGTGTAGTGGAATGGAGACGTGCTACTGTAGCTCTATGTCCCACTTGGAACCCAAAGGACAAGTAGTGATAATAAATGTAACTGGTGAAGGATAAGAAGGACATGGGGGGATTTCAGTGACAAGGCTGTTTATTGATCACTCACTGGTCAAGGGAGAGGTTAGGGTGTACAAACATCCTCTTCTTCTAGATTGTTAGCTCGAATTCTCATACCTTATGGTATATCTTGTAAACAACGTGTTCGAATATACGTCTTTCGAAAGGTTATATGATATACGGTGGTCTAATTCTACTGATTAATCACACCATCAACGAGATGAAACAAAAGAGAACTTTGGATGGATTTCATGTATCCCTTTTCCAACTACGAAATTAGATATCCAGCAACACTTCTGTGAAGTTGCTTATTAGAGTATGCGGGGAGCAATTTACCATTGAACTTATAGGTCGGCATTTACTCCTTATTTGTGATATACTTTGACAGGAGAAGTTGTGACCGATGTGATGTGAGGATAGTTACTTAACGGCAGGATTCGATGGAGGTCATAGTATAAATCAAAAACTAATTGAAATCGGTTCGATCCCTGACGGGGTGGCGTCTTGAGGGGACACTGCTCAGCAGTCCTAAAACGTCGGATCTTCGGTCCACCCATGTTTTCAATCTTTCTCCAACTAATATCATAGTCCATGATGAATATCAGCCTGAAATCAATCAAGTTGAGTTTATGATTTTAACTTTGATTGTGTGAGATGGCCGAGATTTGGCAGAATAACGTTGATATTGGGTAATGATTGAAGGTGAAGTGAAAATTTACACCGCATCCTACCCGATGCTCTACCCAACTAAGCTATGAGGTTCGACTACTGCTGGCCACATTTGCACTTCAATTCACCAATCACAAGCGCCTGTGCCGCCTGTAGTTGAAACAGTGCTACCTAGATAAGTAAGTGGAAGAGGCTACTTCCTTTAAGTTTCTCCCGTTGATGGTGATTGGTGCTTGTTGTTGTTGATTGGGTATCATCATCACATGTGTCTTCTCTGCATTCACTTTAAGTCCCGTCTTCGCTGCCCTGCCTCTCCTGCCAACTTGTTAGTTTTTGCCTGTAGATTTTGAAGTTTGTGCGACATTAGACACAAGTCATAATCGGTGAAATCCAAATCTTCTTGGCTCTTTTCATCGTCCAAACAGCGTATGCCCGTCTTCTTGTTGCTCAGAGTTTGCTGGATGATCCAGTTCACTACAATGAAGAATATAGAGGGTGATTATTTAAGATACTATATCTATTTTAGTAGACTAGTATTACTGATACAGGTTGACGATTAAAGGTGGAATGAAATTTTGATCGCAGCTGGGTTCGAACCAGCGTCTATCGGTTTTTCAGGTTGGGTTATCTCATCAGCTGACAAATGAACAGTAAGGTATAAAAGAGTATTGTTCAACTTATATTGTCTTGTCTTGTCTTAATATTATATATATATATATCTTTCAATTGATTAGCTACGAACATTGTCAGATTCATCTATATGTTCACAACTTACTGGTGGCACATGTCATTCGAAATCAATATCATTAGAAGATGTTTGGCAGTCTGATCAACCAATGCATATTGATCAATCATCAAATGATGAATTAAAACCAGTTGGATCTGATGGTGAAATGCTTATGATACATTCGGCGCCTCATGCTTTATCAGATTCAAATCAATTCAATTCTATCAATGAAGATGATCATAAACGAAATAAAGAGATGAATACAATTCGACGTTGTCTTACACCTGAATTAATTTATCCTATAACACAATTATCATCAACAGTGTCTTCAACAGCATCGTCAGCATCATCATCATCATCATCATCAAGATTATTGAATATACCTGATGAAATTTTATCAGATAGTATTCATACTACTAATAATAATAACAGTAGTAGAAGTGGGAAAGAGAAAAAGAAACGTATACGTAAACGACGTCATCATCAACATCATCATAGTGATGAGATTTCTTCTAATACAAGATTAGCTGATACTTGTCAACATAATATTATGAAACCTATAATGAATACTACTATAGATATTACTTCATCCACTCCAGTATACTGTAGTCCAAGACATGACCATCCAGGTCGAGTATATATTGATACAGATATCTCTATGAATGTTAATGCTTTATTCAATTGTATATTTACTGATTCAGAATTTTTTTCACGTTTAAATCAATTACGTGGTACATTTAATATGATTCAATCATCATGGCCAACTATGAATTGGTCTAATTCAATTGATGAATCGAATTCAATTGATTCAACATTAGATATTGTTAATAAAGTGGAACGAACTATTAGTTACACTTTAACATTGAAACAGAAACTTGGTCCAAGAACATGCACAGCAGTTGAACAACAGGTATGTATGTATTTTTCTTTTAGTTCACTTATTGACTTGTAGTTTAAGAAGAGAGACGGGTTTGTTACTGATGAAGGTGCGTATATTACGCTACAGTTGGTCGTGTCCCGTTATACAGTTGTGTTAGATTGTCGACGAGGGCGGAGTGGGGTGCGTCAGGGGGCGGGGGAAAGGATTGTTACTACAGTAAGATATTTCTGGGGAAGCGTCAGATTGATGACCATTCCGACTATCTGTGTAAGATAGCTGAGATTTGGCGGATAACTAATACTGATAATTGAAGGTGGAATGAAAGTTTCGACTGTAACCGGTTTCGAACCAGCGAATATCGAGTTTCCACTTGGATCCTCTACCAAGTGAACTAGGAGGTCCGATTATTACTGGCGAAATTTGTATTACACTTTATTGATCTCAAGTGGAGTTTTGCCAGATTAGCATTTGAATTAGTGATGCCTGACTACCGTTCGATTATATTCACACTGATAGCCCGCAGTCAGAACTTCTCATCCGAATCGTAATTTAACTGAATTCAAGATATGGGGAAGCATTATATAGATGATCATTTCGACTATCTATGTAAGATAGCTGAGGTTTAGCGGGTAACTAATACTAATAATTGAAGGTGAAATGAAAGTTTCGACTGTAACCGGTTTCGAACCAGCGAATATCGAGTTTCCACTTGGATCCTCTACCAAGTGAACTAGGAGGTCGGATTATTACTGGCGAAATTTGTATTACACTTTATTGATCTCAAGTGGAGTTTTGCCAGATTAGCATTTGAATTAGTGATGCCTGACTACCGTTCGATTATATTCACACTGATAGCCCGCAGTCAGAACTTCTCATCCGAATCGTAATTTAACTGAATTCAAAGGGTGGGGAAGCATTATATACATGATCATTTCAACTATCTATGTAAGATAACTGAGGTTTAGCGGGTAACTAATACTAATAATTGAAGGTGGAATGAAAGTTTCGACTGTAACCGGTTTCGAACCAGCGAATATCGAGTTTCCACTTGGATCCTCTACCAAGTGAACTAGGAGGTCGGATTATTACTGGCGAAATTTGTATTACACTTTATTGATCTCAAGTGGAGTTTTGCCGGATTAGCATTTGAATTAGTGATGCCTGACTACCGTTCGATTATATTCACACTGATAGCCCGCAGTCAGAACTTCTCATCCGAATCGTAATTTAACTGAATTCAAGAGGTGGGGGAGCATTATATAGATGATCATTTCAACTATCTATGTAAGATAGCTGAGGTTTAGCGGGTAACTAATACTGATAATTGAAGGTGGAATGAAAGTTTCGACTGTAACCGGTTTCGAACCAGCGAATATCGAGTTTCCACTTGGATCCTCTACCAAGTGAACTAAGAGGTCCGATTATTACTGGCGAAATTTGTATTACACTTTATTGATCTCAAGTGGAGTTTTGCCGGATTAGCATTTGAATTAGTGATGCCTGACTACCGTTCGATTATATTCACACTGATAGCCCGCAGTCAGAACTTCTCATCCGAATCGTAATTTAACTGAATTCAAGAGGTGGGGAAGCATTATATAGATGATCATTTCAACTATCTATGTAAGATAGCTGAGGTTTAGCGGGTAACTAATACTGATAATTGAAGGTGGAATGAAAGTTTCGACTGTAACCGGTTCGAACCAGCGAATATCGAGTTTCCACTTGGATCCTCTACCAAGTGAACTAGGAGGTCGGATTATTACTGGCGAAATTTGTATTACACTTTATTGATCTCAAGTGGAGTTTTGCCAGATTAGCATTTGAATTGGTGATGCTTGACTACCGTTCGATTATATTCACACTGATAGCCCGCAGTCAGAACTTCTCATCCGAATCGTAATTAACTGAATTCAACGGGTGGGGAAGCATTATATAGATGATCATTTCAACTATCTATGTAAGATAGCTGAGGTTTAGCGGGTAACTAATACTGATAATTGAAGGTGGAATGAAAGTTTCGACTGTAACCGGTTTCGAACCAGCGAATATCGAGTTTCCACTTGGATCCTCTACTAAGTGAACTAGAAGGTCCGATTATTACTGGCGAAATTTGTATTACACTTTATTGATCTCAAGTGGAGTTTTGCCAGATTAGCATTTGAATTAGTGATGCCTGACTACCGTTCGATTATATTCACACTGATAGCCCGCAGTCAGAACTTCTCATCCGAATCGTAATTTAACTGAATTCAAGGGGTGGGGAAGCATTATATAGATGATCATTTCAACTATCTATGTAAGATAACTGAGGTTTAGCGGGTAACTAATACTAATAATTGAAGGTGAAATGAAAACTTCAACTGTGACCGGGTTCGAATCAGCGAATATCGAGTTTCCACTTGGATCCTCTACCAAGTGAACTAGGAGGTCCGATTATTACTGGCGAAATTTGTATTACACTTTATTGATCTCAAGTGGAGTTTTGCCGGATTAGCATTTGAATTAGTGATGCCTGACTACCGTTCGATTATATTCACACTGATAGCCCGCAGTCAGAACTTCTCATCCGAATCGTAATTTAACTGAATTCAAAGGGTGGGGAAGCATTATATACATGATCATTTCAACTATCTATGTAAGATAGCTGAGGTTTAGGGGTAACTAATACTAATAATTGAAGGTGAATGAAAGTTTCGACTGTGACCGGTTTCGAATCAGCGAATATCGAGTTTCCACTTGGATCCTCTACCAAGTGAACTAGGAGGTCCGATTATTACTGGCGAAATTTGTATTACACTTTATTGATCTCAAGTGGAGTTTTGCCAGATTAGCATTTGAATTAGTGATGCCTGACTACCGTTCGATTATATTCACACTGATAGCCCGCAGTCAGAACTTCTCATCCGAATCGTAATTTAACTGAATTCAAAGGGTGGGGAAGCATTATATACATGATCACTTCGACTATCTATGTAAGATAGCTGAGGTTTAGCGGGTAACTAATACTGATAATTGAAGGTGGAATGAAAGTTTCGACTGTAACCGGTTTCGAACCAGCGAATATCGAGTTTCCACTTGGATCCTCTACTAAGTGAACTAGAAGGTCCGATTATTACTGGCGAAATTTGTATTACACTTTATTGATCTCAAGTGGAGTTTTGCCGGATTAGCATTTGAATTAGTGATGCCTGACTACCGTTCGATTATATTCACACTGATAGCCCGCAGTCAGAACTTCTCATCCGAATCGTAATTTAACTGAATTCAAGATATGGGGAAGCATTATATAGATGATCATTTCAACTATCTATGTAAGATAACTGAGGTTTAGCGGGTAACTAATACTGATAATTGAAGGTGGAATGAAAGTTTCGACTGTAACCGGTTTCGAACCAGCGAATATCGAGTTTCCACTTGGATCCTCTACCAAGTGAACTAGGAGGTCCGATTATTACTGGCGAAATTTGTATTACACTTTATTGATCTCAAGTGGAGTTTTGCCAGATTAGCATTTGAATTGGTGATGCTTGACTACCGTTCGATTATATTCACACTGATAGCCCGCAGTCAGAACTTCTCATCCGAATCGTAATTTAACTGAATTCAAGAGGTGGGGAAGCATTATATAGATGATCATTTCAACTATCTATGTAAGATAGCTGAGGTTTAGCGGGTAACTAATACTGATAATTGAAGGTGGAATGAAAGTTTCGACTGTAACCGGTTTCGAACCAGCGAATATCGAGTTTCCACTTGGATCCTCTACCAAGTGAACTAGGAGGTCCGATTATTACTGGCGAAATTTGTATTACACTTTATTGATCTCAAGTGGAGTTTTGCCAGATTAGCATTTGAATTAGTGATGCCTGACTACCGTTCGATTATATTCACACTGATAGCCCGCAGTCAGAACTTCTCATCCGAATCGTAATTTAACTGAATTCAAAGGGTGGGGAAGCATTATATAGATGATCACTTCGACTATCTATGTAAGATAGCTGAGGTTTAGCGGGTAACTAATACTGATAATTGAAGGTGGAATGAAAGTTTCGACTGTAACCGGTTTCGAACCAGCGAATATCGAGTTTCCACTTGGATCCTCTACTAAGTGAACTAGAAGGTCCGATTATTACTGGCGAAATTTGTATTACACTTTATTGATCTCAAGTGGAGTTTTGCCAGATTAGCATTTGAATTAGTGATGCCTGACTACCGTTCGATTATATTCACACTGATAGCCCGCAGTCAGAACTTCTCATCCGAATCGTAATTAACTGAATTCAAGATATGGGGAAGCATTATATAGATGATCATTTCAACTATCTATGTAAGATAACTGAGGTTTAGCGGGTAACTAATACTGATAATTGAAGGTGGAATGAAAGTTTCGACTGTAACCGGTTTCGAACCAGCGAATATCGAGTTTCCACTTGGATCCTCTACCAAGTGAACTAGGAGGTCCGATTATTACTGGCGAAATTTGTATTACACTTTATTGATCTCAAGTGGAGTTTTGCCAGATTAGCATTTGAATTAGTGATGCTTGACTACCGTTCGATTATATTCACACTGATAGCCCGCAGTCAGAACTTCTCATCCGAATCGTAATTTAACTGAATTCAAGAGGTGGGGAAGCATTATATAGATGATCATTTCAACTATCTATGTAAGATAGCTGAGGTTTAGCGGGTAACTAATACTGATAATTGAAGGTGGAATGAAAGTTTCGACTGTAACCGGTTCGAACCAGCGAATATCGAGTTTCCACTTGGATCCTCTACCAAGTGAACTAGGAGGTCCGATTATTACTGGCGAAATTTGTATTACACTTTATTGATCTCAAGTGGAGTTTTGCCGATTAGCATTTGAATTGGTGATGCCTGACTACCGTTCGATTATATTCACACTGATAGCCCGCAGTCAGAACTTCTCATCCGAATCGTAATTTAACTGAATTCAAGAGGTGGGGAAGCATTATATAGATGATCATTTCAACTATCTATGTAAGATAGCTGAGGTTTAGCGGGTAACTAATACTAATAATTGAAGGTGGAATGAAAGTTTCAACTGTAACCGGTTCGAATCAGCGAATATCGAGTTTTGAATTTGACTCTCTTCTGAGTGAACTATAAAGTCCCATTTATTTATCATATACCATCCCTCTTATCTTTGTTATTGTTTTGTAGACACTTCTTATGAGTGAATCAGAATTCGGTAAAAGATATGTAATTGATGCAAAGGTAACAAATCAAGCTGTTCCATTATGTAATTGTTTTTGTGTAATTAGTCGTTATTGTCTATTATGTATAAATTCTACAACAAGTCGGTTACATATTTGTTCACAAGTGATTTATAAGAAACCAGTATTTTTTGGAGCAAAAAGTATTATTGAAAATACATGTCATTCAGGTCTTACAGATTTTTTTAATACACTTGTTGAACAATTAAAAGAATATACAAAAGATTTATCAATTGAAGAACGTTTAACAGGTGGATGGTTAACACAGAAACGAGATTGTAAGCCATTATTATTATCATCATCACCGACGACGACGACGGCGATGATAACAACACCACTGCCACCACCACCAACGATCACAACAGCAACAACTTCATCTCAAATGAATCATCGTATCCCTCGGGTAATTATACAAGGTGATTATAAAAATAAACCTACTTCAATTCATTCAACAATACCATAAATCGAGAAAATGTTAACTATACACATCATTATAATAATAATAATAAGAAGTCAAGTATACCATCAAGATGTTCAGAGTTAATGAAATCGACTGCCTTCAATAATTATAACAATACTGGAGGGATGATAATTAAACGTCAAAATAAAACTGATACCTTTGCATCGAATACTAATGATATGACATATTTATTCATGCGTCCAGATCGTGCTTGGCTATTACTAGTTATCATGTAAGTTATTTTTTAATGCATATTTATATTAGATTGCCTTTCCCCCTTGACCTCCTGCAGCTTAAGACCAAGGACTGGAATACCACATCAAACCTCGTAGAACAATGAAATGAAAATTTCGAATGCGTGGCTAGATTTGAATCAATGAACAATGTAAGCAGGTATAGGCTACATGGTTGGCGACCTCGAGATGAGATGAATCAGTGATATGGTTAAACAATGCACAAAAGAAGATCATACATATAGGAACATTATCCTAAACTTCCAATCCATGTATCCACAAGATGATGCATTTTGACAGCGTCTTCTTATTTCTAGGGACTGTTATCTGTATATACTCTACATCTACAACAACGATTTCCCTATGATAAAATCAGTTACAGTATGTGAACGAGATCTCTGTATGTACGTCTCTTACTTCTGGTCTGAATTCTGTGAAGAGGCTTAGACTAACAGGATGGAGGGGGACCCTATCTTTAGATCATTTATTACCATTTGACTGAGATAGAGCGATGGGGTTCGAACTAACGACCACTGACTTTCTGACCCGATGTTCTGATAAATGAGCTGGTAGTCGGTCACAACCCCCCTTGTGATTGATGAAGTAGTTAATGAAAAAGGAAAGGAAAGCCACTCAAAAGAAATATAAAGTACAAAAGGAGACAAGGGGAGAAAGAGAAAATGATGAGGTTCGGTATAGCGTCGTTAAGATGAGGATGATGTGTGTGTGTGAAGATATACCTGCTCCACTGACGTCGGTTTTCAGTCATATCGCCTACAGTCTTCAACCACTGTTGGTTTCTCTTCTCCAGCGGGCTTCATACATTGATGTCATGCTTTAGTCTGACCGCCTGCAGCCTTTTTCCAGTTTGAACCTACTTCAGCCAACGTTATATGATGAGGTAGACGATGACTGGATATACGTAACACATGTCAGAGTCAACCATCCGAGTCGACGAAGGTTCAAAACCGTGTCGATCGGTTCACCTTCTCTCCATCTCTAAAACTCTACACTGCTTGACATCTCCGTTACCCATATGGTGACACCATGGGATACGGACTATACTACGAAGCCAATGGTGGTCAAATACCTGAAGCCTTCTCATATCTTCCACCTTCAATGGTCATGTTCCACAACCATACAGTAGAACACAGTGGACTGCTGTGCAGTATACGTGACCCTCAGTAGACAATCAAATATCACGACGGTTCCACAGGTGGCGTAAGTTGACGAAACTCAATCGAGCGTTTTGTATTTGTGGAGAGATTTCACCGACCACTGACCAAGTCACCAGGGCTGATCCCACTTCATTTTCCAGGCAAGTGAAGTGGTTAACACATTCAACCACCACGCTCACTCTCTATTGTGAGCCGTGGCACCGTTGAAGTCCAACCCTGGAGCAACAATTTTCATTTCCGTGCTGAGGACCGCATTCCAAACATTCTCAAATTCCCACTCAAAGTGTCCAGAAGACTCTGCATCTTGTCAGCGTCTTCACTTAACAGAACTAGCTATGTCATTTGTATATTCTAGGTCTAACGAAAATTCTCCACCGATTAGGTCAACGTCTGTGTAATCAGGTGATGAGATGGAGACCTCTATAAGAATATCTCTGATAAAATTGAATAGGAATGGAGACAGTGGACAGCCTTGACGGACACCATTCGACGATAATAATAACAGTGACTGTAGTAATAATAATTGGGGTGCTAATAATGATAATAATGACAACAAGGAGAGCGGTGGAGCGTCCATCCGGAAATCCGTTGGTCGGCGGTTCGAATTCGGCCACAGTCGAAATTTTTATTTCGCCTGCAATCATCACCAATTATCAGTAATACTAGTCTGCTAAACCACACCCATGTCACCCAGATAGTCAAAATGATCATCAATATGATGCGCCATCACCTCTGCAGTTCAGTTAGATTAGAAGTACTGACTGGTTGGCAGGCAGTGTGAATATGATCAAGTAATAGTCAGGCGTTACCAATTCACATGGTAATCCGGCAAAACCCCACTTTTGATCGCTGAAGTGAAATACAAACCTGGTCAGTAGTGGTCAAACCTCGTAGTTAACTTGATATGGCATCGTGTCGGAAAGTCGATAGTCGCTGGTTCGAACCCAGGCACAGTCAAAATTTTCATTACACCTTCAATCATCATGAAGTATCAGTAATACTAGTCTACTAAACCACATATACTATCTTACATAGTCAAAATGATGATCCCTCATCTCTCTAATTCAATTCGATTTCGATTCGGATGAGAAGTTCTGACTGCAGACAACCAGTGTGAATGTGATCAAGTGGTAGTCAGGCGTCAAAAATTCACATGATAATCGGGCAAAACCCGCGGTTGTGATTGATGAATTGAAATGCAAATGTGGCCAGCAGTAGTCGGACCTCGCAGTTCAGTTGGTAGGCCATCCAGTAATATTGACAATAATAATAATAATGGTATGGATAATGGTAGTGTTAATAATAATAATAATGATATTAGTGATGCTATAGGTCATAATAATGATCATAATGATACGTTAGTACTAGTAGGGATGATGATCATCATTAAGATGAATACAATGATTGTAATAGTAGTGGTAGTAGTCAACTATCTACCTCAACTTCATCGACTTTGAAAAGACCTTTGACAACGTCGGTTGAGAAGTAATTTGGCAACTGCTGCAACACTATGGAATACCATAAACCTTTATTAACCTCATTCAACAACTATATGAAGACGCCACATGCCAAGTAATTCACGAATGGAAAGCTCAGTGACGCCTTTGAAGTGAAGACAGGAGCAAGACAAGTCTGCCTACTATTTATCTATCTATCACCGATGATCTTCCTGATTCTGCTGGACTAAATGTTGCAGTGAACCGTGAAGAGCGAGAAGATGGTCATATGCTGGCTGGACCGATGAAAAGACCCTAGAAAATTTGGATTTCGCCGATGATGATTTATGTCTAATGTCCTGTGGCACAAACTCGAAGATCTACAGGTGAAAACTAACAACTACAGGTGGCACAGGCACAGACGAGGTTGTCAACGTGAGGATCGGATAGACGGCAAGACAGGCTTTCATTAATCTGAAATAATCAGTGTGGAGATCTACTACACTGCACAGAGCACAAAGAACAAGATCCAGGTTTTTGACATCAATGCCAAGCATGGTTGAGAAAGTTGGCGCGCGTCACGAAAAGCACTTCCAACAAACTACAGACATTCATCAACAGCTGCCATCTACGCTCATTCGATACTGAAGATCAAATGACCAGAATGAATAAGCAACAAGGAACTCTGGGAACTAACCAAAGAAGCAAGAACCTATCGCTCAACAAATCTGCAGAAGGAAGTGGTGATTGATAGGACATACAGTGAGAAGGCTAATTGGGGACACCATGCATCAGGCCAAGCTGTTGAGTGGAATCCAGAGAGTAAAGAACGAGTTGGGCGTCTAAGCTGGGAGTGACATGGAGGAGGAGATGGTGTGAGCAGTCGTGGCGCCAGTTTGAAAAGACTATAAAGAAGAAAGTGAAATGGAGACGTGCGACTGAAGCCCTATGTCCCACTAGGAACCCAAGGCACAAATAATGACATAATATAATTGCGTAACCATCGTCTATGTCATTGTGTAATTTTAATTGAAGTAAATTTTGTCATATTGGGAAAAGGTTTCACGTGGTTTTTTTGTTTTTTGTTTCCTCCCCCCCCCCTTATACAGAAGTTTATTACTATGCTTATTTTTATCAATGGTATATAATCGATTAGTTGTCTTGGAGAAATTGGCAGAACAATTTTCACCATCATCTTCAACATCATCATCAGACAGTCGTGATCAGAATCATATTTCTGATTTATTTGGATCCAAATCTTCAGAAGAAGAAAATCCATTATTCACATCATCATCATCATCATCATCATTTACAATACAAAATGATCAAGGATCTATACCAGTCTATAGAAGTCAATCAAGTATATCAACTGAATGGCCAAGAACAAAATTGAAAATTATGAAAGATCTTATACATTTATTATCGAAAACATTAACGCAGGTAAACAAAGATACAGAGAGAGAGAGAGAGAGAAAGAAAGAATTTTCTTATTTAGAAGTAGTCATGATCCATAGTGGAACTATTGAAAATCTAGGAGCTATTGGACAGATGTTTTGATGCATACTGTTGAGGAGTCTCATACTGGGACGAAACAACTGCTGTCGAGTGGTACCAGCTTGTCAATGGTTTTCCAACTGATATCAGTCCATGATAAATAGTTATTATTTCAAGGAACGTTCCTGTTAAGCTGTACTTTTCTATAGATAGATATGATAGTTCAAGATGAGTTCATGAAGGGATATTCATAATCATAATCATGATGATGATTATGCAAAGGTTGAATGATTAAAAAAAAAAAGGTAGGAAGCGGGAGGGGGGGGGGGACATCGTAGGTAGGTAGATCTAGTAAATAATAATATTCAATAGATTGCACAACAGATAGTAATCTGGAGTAGAGACCAGGATTGTCTATGCGTCATTTGCATGCATACACACATAAGGTCATGGATTGACTTTACACGATACTCCAAAGGTCCCTGATGTTTTCAGAGGTTGAACACCGAGATCCCTTTTCCGATTATTATGATTACAATTGTTATTACTACCATTATTACCTGCCATTATTATTATAAATTGCTACCTTTATCACAATTGCTAATATCTTTACTGTTATTATTATAATGACTATTACTATCATCACCATTATTATCGTTACTATTATCATAAATACAATTGTTCTTCTTTCTCTTATTATTATTATTGTATATATCACGATTATTATTTGTCCGTTGGGTTCCTAGTGGAACACAGGGCTTCACTAGCACGTCTCCAATGCGCTCTGTTCTCTGCAATCTATTATCATAGTTGCAATTGTTATTATTACCATTACCATTGACATTATTATTATTATTATTATTATTATTATTATTATTATTATTATTATGAATGTTATCATTATGGTTACCATTATCATTATCACTATAAGTATCACCACCATTATTATTACCATTAACCAATGCTATTTTTATCCGTACAACAACAAACTCCAATCACCGTCAACGGGAGAAACTTGAAGGAAGTAACCTCCTTCACTTATCTAGGAAGCACTGTTTCAACTACAGGCGGGACGGACGAGGACGTCAAAGTCAGAATCGGAAAAGCAAGACAGGCGTTCATTAGCCTGAAACCAGTGTGGGGATCTTCTGCACTCAGCATGTGGAACAAGATACGGATTTTCAACACCAACGTCAAGTCAGTGCTCTTGTATGGCTCAGAGACTTGGCGCGTCACGAAAGGCATTTCCAATAAACTACAGACATTCATCAACAACTGCTTACGCTCGCTGCTGAAGATCAGATGGCCAGAAAAAATAAGCAACAAGGAACTCTGGGAACGAACCAACCAAGAACCTATCACGCAACAAATATGCAGGAGGAAGTGGAGATGGATTGGCCATGCACTGAGAAGGCCGACTGAGGACATCACGCGTCAGGCCCTCGAGTGGAATCCCCATGGGAAGCGACGAGTTGGACGTCCGAGGGTGACATGGAGGAGGTCATGCGAGGAGGAAATGAGAGGCTGTGGGCTGTCGTGGAACCAGCTTCAAAAGATGTCAGAGAACAGAGGTCACTGGAGGCGTGCTACTGAAGCCCTATGTTCCACTAGGAACCCAAGGGACTAATAATAATAATAATAATTTTTATCCGTACGAGTATCAATATTATGATTATTGTTATTACTATCACTATTATTACAATCATTGACATTATTTTTATGGTTACCATTATGATAATTGCCATTGTCGATATTACTACTGTTATTATTATTATTATTACCATTATTATTGCCGCCATTATTGTTATTACCACTTTCATAATTTGCATTATTGTTATTACTATTATCATTATTATCACCGTTATGATAATTATGATTATTATCATAATTACTGTCGTTATTATTCTTATTATCACTGTTATCATTATCATTAGTAGTAGTAGTAGTAGTAGTAGCATTGATATTATTCATGTTACGATAATTATTATTGCTCTTATTGCAATTACCACTATTATTACTGTCGCCAGTAGTATTATTACTATCGTAACCACTATTCCCATCATCATTACCATTACTGTTACGATTATTATTGTTTAGACTATGATTATGATTACCATCACTCCTATTACTGTCACTGTTATCAATGCTATTATTATTATTATCACTACGGTTATTATTATTACTATTATTATCGGTATTGTCATTACTGCTACTATTAATATTATGGTTATCATTGTGATTATCATCCCTATTTTTATAAATAATAATAATAATAACATTATTATCATGATTACAGATGCAACAAACACTGACACAAGTGCGACAAGGTATCGAACTATTGGAAACTCCACCAGTAAATATGCCGCCTATCGTTACCTCTGGTGATGATGGTGATATCAAAGGGAATATGAATATTCCTATGATGAATCCAATTGTAGAATATTCATCGAATACTGAAAATAATCCTGTTACCTAATTATTGATAAGCAATCAGTTTTTTTTCTTTCTTTCCGCCCCCCCCCCCTTTAATAAAAACAACTAGTCATCTGTTTATGATAGCACCAAATGTAAATTGTGTAAAATCAGATTATCTAATCGTCTTCTTTTAAATGTTATGTTCCCCCCCCCCTATTTATTATTATTATTGTTTTTGTTGAGTTTTTCTAGAACTGTGATAGTATAACAAGTAGAAGGGGGGAGGTGACAGTTCACCCCTCTCTCTCTCTCTCTGCAATCAACCTATCTGCGATTCTCCCTATATCAACATAATACTCTGATTTTCATCATTTATATTTGACCTATTATATATCTTATTGATATGGGGATCCATTCCGCGTAGACAAAGGGAAACTGTTATAACACCATTGATCTCTCTCTCCCTCTCTCTCTCTCTTTATCATTCATATTTGTTTCCTATTGTTGCTGTGTCATTATTCTAAAGGTTCAACTCTTATCTCATGTCATATATCATCTATTCATTAACATTTTTTTTCAAATTAAATTAAGACAATAGTTATTCTTAATTGTTTCATCTATTCTATTTCACAAATTTCAATAAAGATAAATTATCCACGTTCTAAACCACCGGCAACAGGCACCAACACACATGAGCGTGAGAAATAGCATTGAATCTATAATCCGTAAAATTTCTGTTGGAAGTAGGATGAGCTGCGCCCCGTGGCTCAATCGCCGATCCAATCTTTGCACGAAGACAATACACTCGGTTGACTTTGGTCAACTCACGCCAACAATGCCACTGTCACCATATCCGGTTGTCTATTAACCGTTGACTTTGGTCAACTCACGCCAACAATGCCCCGTCACCATACGTTGTCTATTAACGTCGCGTGTACTGCACACGCTCAGTCCCACAACACTCAATCAATATGTAATCACTCCAGTGTAGAAACACCTTCACACTCACCCACACACAAATTGTCTCTTAGGGTGACACACAAACTCATAGACACACACAATTCATTATGAACTCGTAACAAATGGATAATGTGTGAAATTTGTGTTGGAAGTAGGATGAGCCGCGCCCCGTGGCTCAATCGCCGATCAATCTTTGCACGAAGACAATACACTCGGTTGACTTTGGTCAACTCACGCCAACAATGCCGCCGTCACCATATTCGATTGTCTATTAACGGTCGCGTGTACTGCACACGCTCAGTCCCACAACACTCAATCAACATGTAATCACTCCAGCGTAGAAACACCTTCACACTCACCCACACACAAATTGTCTCTTAGGGTGACACACAAACTCATAGACACACACAATTCATTATGAACTCGTAACAAATGGATAATGTGTGAAATTTGTGTTGGAAGTAGGATGAGCCGCGCCCCGTGGCTCAATCGCCGATCAAATCTTTGCACGAAGACAATACACTCGGTTGACTTTGGTCAACTCACGCCAACAATGCCACCGTCACCATATTCGATTGTCCATTAACGGTCGCGTGTACTGCACATGCTCAGTCCCACAACACTCAATCAATATGTAATCATTTCAGTGTAGACTCACGTGCACATACACACAGACGCACGCGAATACACAGCAACATGCACAGACAAAGACACACATTTCATTTTGAACTCGTAACAAATGGATAATCATTACCACTCTCATCTTCACCATTGTCATTATTAATATCATCAAATTACAATTCCTTCTTAATACTATAATCATCACCATCGTTTTAACTACACGCAGATGACGATGTCAAAGCCAGGATCGGGAAGACAGCAAGATAAGCCTTCCTGCGTTGGTCCGAAATAATCGGTGAGGAAATCTACTGCACTGGACTGCACTCAGCATAAAGCGTGAACAAGATCCGGATTTTCAGCACCGTCAAGTCAGTGCTTCTATTTAGTTCATTCAGAGGCTTAGCGCGTTACGAAAAGTATTTCCAACAAACAGCAGACATTCACCAACAACTACCGCTTACGCTCGATCTCTACTGAAGATCAGATGGCGAGAAAGAACAAGTAACAAGGAACTGTGGGAATGAACCAACCAAGAACCTATCACCCAACAAATATGCAGAGGGAGAAAGTGGAGATGGATTAGGCATGCACTGAGAAGGCCGACTGGGGACATCACGCGCCAAGTTGTTGAGTGAAATCCAACGGGGAAACGATGAGTTGGGTGTCCGAGGGTGACAGGGAGATCATGAGTAAGAAATGAAAGCTTATGGATAGTCGTGGAGCCAGGTTGTAAAGACTGCAGAGAAGAGAGTGAAACGGTGACGTCCTACTGAAGCCTTATGTTTTACTAGGAACCCAAGTGACAAGTAACAATAATAATAATTACTCAAATTAGGTCGCCTCAGCATCAGTCGAGCGGCAAGCCACTTCAACGACTACACTAAACTATTCACTAGGTACCAGCGACGAGTGGTGTGTACAAAGGATAGAGACGTAATCAACTCAATCTTATGATTTCCGATTACCAGGGGTTTCTCATTCACGTTTCACAATCTCATTGACTTTCAGTGTCTCCTACCTAATACCTTTCGCCTGACGTCAACGTTGCTCCCACGGTGATTCCATTATACGCCAGCAATACTACAAAGATAAGAAATACGAGCAAAGTGATAGGATTCTAATGAGATCGGCAATGGGACCTCTAGTGGTATCTTGACATTCACGAAAGATACATGCATGATATATATGCGTTATTTGTGACTCATACCGATTTGGAATCAGCTATCTACAGAAAACCTATCTGGAAGGGATAGCTTACTAATTTCCATAGTTGGATGCCAATTATGAGGAAGAGAACCATCATTTACCCATACTCAGTCCGCTATTGAATACAATATGTATGAAGTGTAGGTTGTACGCAAGTTGTACTCAACTTCCTAAGAAGTACAATAATGGAAAATTGCTATCCTAGCTGATTTGTTGGTGGAAATATGGAAGAAAGACAGGTAAATTGAGTGCTGATCGAGTTGTGATGGTGGTTGACATTTTCCGGCTGCCAACACCGTGGACGGTTATTTTTTCTTAAGGTACCTCCGAAAGAGATTTGTGTGACTGCAGAGCCTATTGGACATCTGTTTGAGGCCTGTCACACAAAGTCTTTTGTGTATGATTATTTTAGGGCCTGATGGCAGAAAAGAAACGACAAATGAACCAACATCGTTAGCCCAGCAGACTGTGGAGCATTGTGGAGTGTTATTCTTGGGGCCGACCTTTTCTAATGCCCCCCCACCCCCGCTTCCACTGAGAAGGCAGCATCAGCATGCCACTGCTGATCATCCAAGGGAAACACCTTACTGCTGTCACACCCCATCCAGCTGGCAGCAGTACGACTTCGCCCTCAGACCCCCATCATAGTGTAGTAATTTATACCACAACGTTAACTGCTTTTCGTCTTACCACTATCTAACAGACCTTTCTGGTATGGTAGGACCTCGAGGGAATAAGTGTTCCACCAGCATAGCTCGTCCGGTCACTGTGATATGCAAGCCCGACCACCACGTCAAGGTAGCAACTATCGGTCGGGAGAAAGACATATGATGAAACGAGTGACTAACTCAGTTTTTAAAACGACTTTTCGAATCTCCTTTTTAGCACACCATCGGAATGAGAACGGATTTGTAACCTACACATTTCGCACACCGGCTGCATTTTCTTTAGTTATATCGAGATATCTAGAGATGAGACGACTGTTACTCCTAAATAGTAAAATTAGGTCGCCTTCTCGGCATCAGTCAAGCAGCAAGCCACTGTAACGAATTCACTAAACCATTCAATCGGTAGTAGCGACGGGCGATGTGTACAAAAGGCAGATACGTAATCAATGCACGCTTATGCCTTCCATTTACCAGAGATTCCTGGTTCACGGGGATTCGTCCAACCCTTTCGGGTCAAATGGTTTCCAGATTGGCTGGCACCGTCATTGTAGTATATGTGTAGTCCCTGGCATCACAGACCTGTTATGGTTCGATTTCGTGCGACTTAAGCGTGCCACTTGCCTGTCTAAGACGTAAAAATTGGCAGTGTACCTACACTATTCCATAAAGAAAGTGTATAAGCCGCATCCTGATGGAGCACAGTGGATCAGTCTACTATTTAGTATGTTAAAGTCTTTTCGCTATCGGAATCAACCAGACAAACTGTCCCACCAACTAAGAACGGCCATGTAAAGGCAAGCACAGAGAGATGAACTTTTCTCATATCCTTTGACTTCCTTTTGGGTCAATCGACTCGCAAGTGGGATTCAACGCTTGTGTTGTGTAACAAATTCACTTGTAGACACTTGATCACTAATCGAGGCTTTCAACTCCATAGTGACTGTTAAGTGAGGAATGGCAAGTCATTGGAACATCTCCAAATAGAGACAGCTATCGATGTATAACTGGGATGGGACACTTAACGATATGTAATATAAACCAAACAATCCCTCTCAGCCCTCAGTCCTTACAATGCTTAAATTAAAGAATCAAGTTCTCATCATTGAAATATTTCGTCAGTGTTGTCAGCTGACTGGAAAGTGTGTAAACGATAAACCAACGATTCGGGCCAATTCATCTGCTACTGTGGAGCTGGTTATATAGGCCACAGTATTTCGGTTGGCTGTCTAGGGGAGACTGTACAGCCATCAACAGCTTGATTCTTGAGCTCCATTGAAATATTTCATTACATTCATGTACAAAGTGAAATCCAACATTCTGAAGGGGATGAACAATCGCTACCTCAACAGAACAGAAAGGTTGGCATCCCACTGATTCAAACCTGATTTTTACATTTCAAAATACTTACAGTCAATTTTTGTCACTTTTTACTCGTTGCTTTGTTCATTTACTGCAGTATTTTCGACGACCTTGGGTTGACCTTCAAACCGCGACTCATTGGCCGTTTTTGACGACCTTGAATCGACGCGTTCGCCATTGGCGGATTTGGGTTGTACACCTTTTGAAAATGACTCGTCGAAACAGGAAATACTCTTTTATTATGATTTAGATTTCGAAATAGTAATAATAATAGTAATACCGAATAAAACTAGGGCTAAACCGGGACTTGATTTCTTCACCACTAATATGTCATGATTTGCAATTTGTTTGTTTTTTTCTGATCCAGAGAAAGAGGAAGGAAACAAAAAGTATTAAATGCATTGAGATGAAGAAGCCTGTACAGAATAACCAATGATACCGATTGTAAAGAGGAGATGAGACAGTGATGACTGAACTTCTCGCTTAGTTCAGAAGCCAACTTGCTAACATCTTTGACTATGGAACAACGCATTGTTCCTGGTATTGCTGTTGTTCGGATAAGTATTTTTTTGCCTAGAAAAGAAATAAACAGAAATTATGAGCCTTGAATGATATTCGAATACAGACGAGTTACCAGTTGGAATTACGCTATATAACCTTGAAATTCACACTTCATCAGTCAACCAACAGGAAACAACATAAGTCTGAAAAATTACACCAAATACCAGAGATAACCAAACTGATATCAGATAATTATTCAGTAGTTAGTATGGAATTACTGAATAAGAAGGAGAAGAATTGGCGATGATGCAAATAAACTTGAACAAATACAATAAACAAAAATAAGATATTTAGCGAAGAAGAGGACTCTTTTCAACGAATTTATTCTCAAGCTGTACATTCGTATATACCGACACCAGACAATGGCTGTATTTCTTGACCTAAAGGCGGCAGTATTTGACTCCGTTGATCGAGAAGTCTTATGACAATGTCTCTTACTGTAAGACGTGCCAAGTAAGAACATCACTTTATTGAAGGCTCTCCACTCGAACACTAATGGGCGTGTGTTAGAGCCTATGATGAGACGTCCAGGGAGCTGTACTCATCAAGTATCCGTCAAGGATGCCAACTGTCTCCATTCTTATTCAATTATTATCACAGGTATTTTTATGGAGGTCTCCCTCTCATCACCTGATTACACAGAGGTTGACCTAATCACAGGAGAATTTTCATCAGACCTACAATATGCAGATGACATAGTCCTGTTAAGTGAAGACACTAACAAGATGCAGAGTCTTCTGAACACTTTGAGTAGCAATTTGAGAATGTTCGGAATGTGTTTCTCACAACCCAAATGCAAATTTTCGCTCCAGGATTGGTCTTCAGCGGTGCCACGCTTAACAATAGAGATTGAAGTGTTTGAGTGCGTCAATCACTTCACTTACTTGAGAAGTAGGATCAGCCCTGGTGGGTCAGCTGCCGATGAAATCTCTGTACGGATACAATTTACGCCACCTATGGCGCCACCGAGATATCCGTTTGTCTATTACAGGTGGCATGTACTGCAAACCAGTCAGGTCTGTTCTACTGTATAGCTGGGAAACATGGCCACTGAAAGTGGAAGATATGAAAAAGCTTCAAGTGTTTGACCACCATTACCTTTTTAATGTGTAGGCCGTATTCCGTGGTGTCACCACGTGAGTAATGCACAAGTCAGGAGTAGAGATTTAGAAAGTAGAGGTAAATCAGTTGACTAGGTTATGAACCTTCATCGATTGAGATGGTTGGGACACGTATTACGTATGCCTAGTCACCGATTACCTCGTCACACATTGTTGACCGAGAAGGTGCAGGATGGAAAAAGGCCTGAGGTGGCCAGACTAAAACATGGCACAAATGTATGAAGTCTCTGACTGTTGGTTTGAGCCATGTAGGGCGATGCAGACTAGGTGGTTGGGGTCTGCGGGACAAGAGGAACCAGTGGTTGGAGACTGACTCTAGGTGATCACATGCCTCAGAACCGATGTCAGTGGCGCAGATGTATCCCCACACACATTATCCTCACCTTAACGACGCTATACCGATTCTCACCACTTTTTCATTCTTCCTTTATCTCTTTTCGTACTTTATATCTCTTTTGACTGAATTTTCTTTTCTTCATCTTCCGCTTGACTACGTTTCTACTTGGTGTAGTGATATGAGTTGTGGCAACTCGGACCATTACGCAGTAATCCCTGGTCCTATGTTGATATAAATAGATGGATGATGACATTCGTATATATTATTAGTATTTGTTCCCTTGGGTTCCTAGTGGGCTGGCACGACATGTCCCTGAACAGCCCTCTCAGTCTATGTCCAACCCATCTGCATATTTGTTGGGCGATAGGTTCTTGGTTGGTTGGTTCATTGTCAGGCCAGCCAGAGTTCCTTCTTGCTTATTCAGGCCATCTGATGTTCAGTATTGAGTGAGCGTAGGCGGTAGCTGTTGATGTACGATGTCTGTAGTTTGTTGGAAATCCTTTTCGTAACGTACCAAGTCCCTAATATTTAAATACTGTAATGCATGAGGAAGATTTAACTTAAATAATGCTGCGTTGAAACAATAATAATAATAATAATGTTCCTAGTTGATGAAGTAAAGGTCGAATGATAACGAGAAGGGGGTTTCGTAAGATTTTTAAATCGTTTATACGGTGCATATAGATTAAAAAGGGGGTGAGGACGTGGTACAATTAACGACCATTTAATTAGTAGAACAGTTTTTTTCTCATCCAAACTTCACTCGATCTTTACCAGGCGTAAATTCTTCTCAGTTTGTATAAACCACAATATCCCTCAACAGGTCACAACCATGTGTATCTATCTACCAGTTTACCTGCTCATGTGAAGCAACGTGCATCAACCTTCATCAGAGATTACTGTTAACATATATACAAGAATATATTCCGGTCGGGTTTTATAATGATGAGAAAGGAAATTCATCAGAACTTTTATCCTTGAACATTGAATCGGTTCCTCAACCGTTCAATCGACCGCTGACAATCAATTTAAAGTTGTCTATTAAATACGCTCAACATTTCACGTTACCACTATGTTCAACTTCTACAAACAGCAAAGACGTTGCCTATCCATCAATTGAAGCCTGATCTTTGTGTACGAGTATGTAAAGTCTTTGTCTCTACCTTCGCATTAATTTATTTCAGTCTTAGTGTACTTCGTTCTTTTTTCCTTTGAACCACAGTCGGATTCGAACCAGCAACATACGAGTTTCCGGCTCGATGCTCTGCCAACTGAGCTACGAAGCCCAACTACTACTGACCAAATTTTTACTTCACTTCATCAATCACAAGCGGCATTTTGCCCGACTACCGCCTGAACAGTATATGTTGACAGGGTGGCAGAATTCATAGGGAATTACCAGCAATGGGTAAAGAGTCTGTCTAGAGAAACGTAAGAGATATTGTAGGCGTATTAAGATCAAGTGGAGGTAGAGGCAGGGGAGAAAATGAAGCACATTACGCGAATGACTGTGTTATATTTGTATAAGAAGCGCCTCAGTCTTATCGTTTCCTACAACTGACGTCGCTCCTTGCAGACGTGATAAAGATCCCGTGGCCTGCAGTGTTCTACGATATCTTCCACAGGGACACCGAGTATGTCACGGAGCTAGTCAGTGCCCGGGAATACAGGAGCGAAGGTTATGGTGCTTGGCATGTTGCTGAGGGGTCGACCAAAAGCGGCATATGATGGCACGGAACGCGTGTATGGGAAGGAGACTTGGCAGAGAATGGTAGAACAACTAGAGGTGGAGTTTCACAACCCAACGACGCAGCAGTTTCGGAGCACGAAACTTGAAATAGACGAACATCCGCTAGTATTAGCTGTAAAGTTGACAAGACTACTTTGACAAGCATTTCCCATTTTGGATGAGTACTCTCAGGACCAGTTGATGGCTGCACAGTTCACCCAAAGTGTCTCGTAAACCATCACCCAGCAGATACGACTAGTGAACCCAGCCCTCTGAACATATACTACTTACAACATCCATTCTGATCAGTAACGTCCACTAACTAAAGAATCAGTAATAATAAGAGCATTATAGTAACAGCGACAGTAATGACAGTAATACCGACAATAATAATAATAATAGGTGATGATAGGAGGTGACATGGAAATTTTGACCGCCGCCGGATTCGAACCAGCGGACGCCTGCTTTCCAGCCCGATACTCTACTAACTGAGCTTATCCATTATAAATACTAGCTTCCCAAATCACGACTGTCACCTCACTCAGATAGCCCGATGCTTTATCAACTGAGCTACAAGGTCTGTACCATCATATGCCGCTTTCAGTCGACCCCTCATCAACATACCAAGCACCATAACCTTCACTCCTGTATTCCCGGACACCCATGAACTGGTTTTAGAGGCTAGTATCACTCATACTAGGGTGATGATTGAAATATGAATATCGATGGTGAGGAGGATTCGAACCAGTAGACACTGGAGTTCCCGACGAGATGTTATTATATCAATAGATAAAGGAAAATCAAATTAATTCAATCTACTCACTTGTTCAATATTCTTGTCAGCAGCTAATTTCATTAAATACTTCACACTGAATATAATTTGTTTATCTGAACAATCAATATAAACTAGAGGTGAATTAGAATTGAGTATAAGACAGGCAAGATTATAAGCAGCAAATGGATGTGAATCTATTTTCACAGCACAACTATACCAATAACTTGCTTGATTAGTATAATGTTGTTTACTATGATTATGAAGAGATGTACAACACGTAGATGCTTGTAATTCATACCAAACACCTAGATTATATTGAGCTGGAGAATAGTTTAATTCACTTAAATTCAACCATAATGTTGGAAACTTTTTCTCTTTACCCTTTGATATACACTTTAATTCATGCTAGATAAAGAGAATAAGAAAAAAAATGATATAATAGCAATTACACATAAGAGAATATGAAATACTATAGAATTTGAATAGGATGCGCTACAGTCAAAACTATGACAGGAACAGGCTGACTGGATTCATGAAGTACAAATGATGTGCGGATCAAAATGGCAACCCTACGCTACGCATCATCATAGAACACAGTATAGAATGGCAGTCAACTCAACTCTACCTCAACTTCATCCACTTTAAAAAGGTCTTCGATAGCGTCGACCGACAAGTAATTTGGCAGACAGTTACTTCAACACTATGGAATACTACAAACCTTTATCAATCTCATTCAACAACTATATGAAGACGCCACATGCCAAGTAATTCACAATGGAAAGATCAGTGATGCTTTTGAAGTGAAGACAGGAGTAAAACAAGACTGTCTACTATCACCCATGATATTCCTGATTGTGATCGACTGGATCCTGCAATAAACCACTGTGAGGAGCGAGAAGAAGGAGATACGCTGACTGGACCGGGGGAAAGATCCTAGAAGATTTGATTTTCGCCGATCACTTGTGTCTGATGTCACACAAACTTCAAGACCTACAGGCGAAAACTAACAAGTTGACAGAAGAGGCAGGGCAGCGAAAACGGGACTTCAAGTGAGTGTAGAGAAGACAGAGGTGATGATGATACCCAACCAACACAACCAACAACAAGCACCAATCACCATCAACGGGAAAACCTAAAGGAAGTAGTTTCTTTCACCTACCTACCTAGGCAGCATCGTTTCAACTACAGGCGGCACAGGCACAGACGAAGATGTCAAAACCGGAATCGAAAAGACAGCAAGACAGGCTTTCATTAACCTGAAAAAAGTGTGGAGATCTTCTGCACTCAGCACAAGGCGTGAACAAGATCCGGATTTTCAACACCAATTCAGTCAAGTCACTGCTTCTATATGGTTCAGAAACCCGGCGCGTTACGAAATGCATTTTCAACAAACTGAACACATTCACCAACAACTGCCAACGCTCATTCGATATTGAAGATCAGATGGCCAGAAAGAATAAGCAACAAGGAACTCTGGTTGGCGACAAACCAAGAACCTATCACCCAACAAATATGCAGAAAAGGAAGGGGAGATGGATTGGGCATACAATGAGAAGGCCATTCGGGGACATCACGCGTCAGGCCAGACACTCGAGTCGAACCCAGATGGGAAACGACGAGTTGAGAGTCCCAGCTGACGGTGACATGGAGGAGATCGTGTGAGAAAGAAATGAGAGCTTGTGGGCTGTCGTGGAGCCAGGTTCAAAAATTGCAGAGGACAAAGTGAGATGGAGACGTGCTACTGAAGCCCTATGTTCCACTAGGAACCCAAGGGACAAATAATAAATAGTAATAATGTATATACTCACACAATTCAATTTATGGAGGAGTTGTGAAATAGTCATTGAAAGACTATGCATAGAGACATCAGATTGTGATATATCAGTTTGACAACTTTGATTCTTTGTTTCAACAGATTTATTAGCTTGTTGTCTAGTTATTGAAGCTTTAGAAGTGGTAAAATGATTCACTGTTGATTGACTGATAATAGTCGATGAGAATTTATGTAGATATCCTTCAATTAACTAAAGAATATTTGAAAATAATTCATGAGAAAAATTTACATGATAAGATTGTTGATTAGAGACATTCTTCAGGTTGATATAATCTGATTGAAAACTTCTTGATAATACTTCATATTTGTTATTTGATAAATTAGAATAATGTAAAAGGGAATCATTATGATGAAAACTGACAACTGGAGCTAATCCACGTAAAACTATTGAGGGAAAAAATCATTAGGATAGATAAGTAGGTGATGGTGGAGAAATCAACTTACAACGTAATTTAGCACTTAACATTTGGCTAACAAAACAGGATAGACTTGAGTTCAATTACAATGAGATGAACAGATGATAAGTGATTGTTATTAAGTCCTTTGAATTGTGAAATCTAAAATAATAATGATAAATTTTAATAAAAACATTAACATCAATCACACAACTTCAAACAAGCAACAAGGAACTCTGGCTGGCTGGTAACGAACCAACCAACAACCTATCGCTTAACAAATATGCAGAAAAAGGAAGGGGAGATGGATTGGGCATACAATGAGAAGGCCATTCGGGGACATCACGCGTCAGGCCAGACACTCGAGTCGAACCCAGATGGGAAACGACGAGTTGAGAGTCCCAGCTGACGGTGACATGGAGGAGATCGTGTGAGAAAGAAATGAGAGCTTGTGGGCTGTCGTGGAGCCAGGTTCAAAAGATTGCAGAGAACAAAGTGAGATGGAGACGTGCTACTGAAGCCCTATGTCCCACTAGGAACCCAAGGGACAAATAATAATAATACATAACTTCTATCAAAATCGGAGGGCAGGAGAGAAAAGTTATGTGAACTTGTATCGACTGAGGTGACTGGCTGGGATACGTGTTATCGTCAGGCTTATTACACAATGTGGTTTAGATTCTCAACCAATATGCGGTAACGTCTCAAGTAACTCAGTTGCTTCATACCACTGACATCACCCCACGCAGAGAGTCCTCATGCACCAACACATCCTAACCTAATATAAATATCCTTCATCCTACGCCAACACATCATACATTAACCACCTCTGTGCTTCTTCCATCCACTCCCACAGCTAGCAAAGCAATGAACGGTGTGTAAGCGGTTGGCATGACGACATACGTAACATATATCCAAGTCATTCCATCCATATATCCATCCATCCAGATCAACCTAGGACCAGGCATTACTGCGTAACGGTCCAACTTGCCACACCTCATATCAGTAGATCAAGTAGAAAGGTAGTGAGGTGATAAATGAAGATAAGAAAATTCAGTCAGAAGAAATATGAAGTACGAGAAGAAAGAAAGGAAGAATGAAAAAGTGATGAGATTCGGTGTAGCGTCGTTAAGATGAGGATAATATGTGTGGGGATACATCTGCGCCACTGACACCGGTTCTGAGGCATGTGATCACCTAGAGTCAGTCTCCAACCACTGGTTCCTCTTGTCCCGCAGACCCCAACCACCTAGTCTGCATCGCCCTACATGGCTCAAACCAACAGTCAGAGACTTCATACATTTGTGCCATGTTTTAGTCTGGCCACCTCAGGCCTTTTTCCATCCTGCGCCTTCTTCGGTCAACAATGTGTGACGAGGTAATCGGTGACTAGGCATACGTAATACGTGTCCCAACCATCTCAATCGATGAAGGTTCATAACCTAGTCAACTGATTTACCTCTACTTTCTAAATCTCTACTCCTGACTTGTGCATTACTCACGTGGTGACACCACGAAATATGGCCTATAACTGCAAAGGCAACACTGTTCAAATATATGAAGCCTACCTTACCATCCTCTACCACCACTTTAATCTTCATCTTCTATCTTAGTACTTTCTCGCTTGATGTGCTGACCAATTGAATAATATGTTTTTTGTTCCTAATGTAATATGCGGTAACTCCAGTGAGGTGTCAAATGTGTTCCACCAGATATTATGGCCTGATGTGCGTATTCACGAGGGTGTAATGGCTCATATCCGCTGGTTGGAAACTTAAATGTCAGTTGGTTATATATAGGTAGTGTGAATAACTTGCAAAGCTGTGCAATTTTGCGACGATCAGTTAGGTCCTAGTCATCATTTACTTCGGACGCACCTGTACTCGGTTGATCGAGAAATCTTATGGCAACGTCTCTCACTGAAAGGCTTGCCGAGTAAGTACATCACCTTATTGAAGGCTCTCTACTCAAACACTTGTGGGTGAGTTATAGCCTATGGTGAGATGTCAGGTGAGCTGTACTCATCGAGTGGTGTCCGTCAAGGGTGCACACTGTCTCCATTCCTATTCAATTATTATCACAGGTATTCTTATGGAGGTCTCCCTATCATCACCTGATAACACAGAGGTTGACCTAATCACAGGAGAATTTCCGTTAGACATAGAATATGCAGATGACATAGTCCTGTTAAGTGAAAACGCTGACAAGATGCAGAGTCTTCTGAACACAGAGTAGCAATTTTAGAATGTTTGAGATGCGTTTCTCACCGCCCAAATGCAAATTGTTGCTCCAGGATTAGTCTTCAACGGTGCCCCACCATGGCTAATAATAGACAGTGAGTGTAGTGGTTGAGTGTGTTGACCACTTCACTTACTTGGGAAGTAGGATCAGGCCTGCCCCATGACTCAGTGGCCGGTGAAATCTCTGCACCAATACAAAAGGCTTGATTGGCTTTTGCCAATTTACGCCACCTATAGCGCCGCCGTGTGTACTACACAGCAGTCAGGTCTGTTCTAATGTACGGCTGTGAAACATGGCCATTAAAAGTGGAAGACATGAGGAGGCGGCTTCAGGTGTTTGAACAGTGTTGCCTTTGCAGTTATAGGCCATATTTCGTGGTGTCACCACGTGAGTAATGCACAAGTCAGGAGTAGAGATTTAGAAAGTAGAGGTAAATCAGTTGACTAGGTTATGAACCTTCATCGATTGAGATGGTTGGGACACGTATTACGTATGCCTAGTCACCGATTACCTCGTCACACATTGTTGACCGAAGAAGGCGCAGGATGGAAAAAGGCCTGAGGTGGCCAGACTAAAACATGGCACAAATGTATGAAGTCTCTGACTGTTGGTTTGAGCCATGTAGGGCGATGCAGACTAGGTGGTTGGGGTCTGCGGGACAAGAGGAACCAGTGGTTGGAGACTGACTCTAGGTGATCACATGCCTCAGAACCGGTGTCAGTGGCTCAGATCTATTCCAACACATATTATCCTCATCTTAACGACGCTACACCGAATCTCATCACTTTTTCATTCTTCCTTTCTTTCTTCTCGTACTTCATATTTCTTCTGACTGGATGGATGTACTGTTCGACATGTTCTTATCACAGACACAACTCCTTGCTATAATAAGCTGTACGTTCAAGGGAGACAGTAGACAACTAGTCACCAATTAACAACCTGCCAGTTTTATTCGTATCGTGGTTAAGATAATTTGTGGTAAGGTACTAAAACAAGACTAGAGACAATAAACCTCTTGTGGACACGGTGTTCATTAACTTTGGCAAGGATTTCGATAAAGTTTTACACTCAAGTTAATTATGGAAGTTTCATAAACTTGGTATTCAAAATAGAGTGGAAACATAGATTAGAGAAAATTAACAGAAGACTACAAGTAGGAAAAAAGAATACTATCTAAGTGATAATCTCTCGCCCGTAGACATTTTTATGGCGCTATCCTTCAACTACTACTCTTCTTTCTTCATGCTATCGAAATACTGAAGATCATAGAGTTATCATTATTGTTATTCATTGATATATGGAGGATCATTTATGATGCTAATAACATGTATCCCACTCCAAGCTAACCATGATGCACTGGTTGAAGTCCGGAAGTCAATTTCGGTAAAAGTGTGATAATCCGTATTAGGAATAACTACTATACTAAGTATAGAATAGCAGTCAACTCAACTCTACCTCAACTTCATCGACTTTGAAAAGGCCTTCGACAGCAACTACAGAGATATAATTTGGCAGTTGCTTCAACACCACGGAGTACCACGAATCTTCATCAACCTTATTCAACAGCTATATGACGACGTCACATGCCAAGTGATCCACAATGGAAAGATCAGTGACGCCTTTGAAGTGAAGACAAGAGTAAGACAAGGCTGCCACCTACTATCACCCATGATATTCCTGATTGTGGTCGACTGGATCATGCAGCAAACCCTGAGGAGTGAGAAGAGGGGGATAGGCTGTTTGACAAATGAAAAGACCCTGGAAGATTTGGATTTCACCGATTATGATTTGTGTCTGATGTCACACAAACTTCAAGACCTACAGGCGAAAACTAACAAGTTGACAGAAGAGGAGAGGGAGCAAAGACGGGACTTCAAGTGAATGTAGAGAAGACAGAGGTGATGAAGATACCCAACCAACAACAACAAGCACCAATCACCATCAACGGGAGCAACCTAAAGGAAGTAATCTCTTTAGCCTACACAGCTAACCAGGCAGCATCGTTTGGACTACAGGATGCCAAAACCAGAATCGGAAAAGTAGCACAGGAGTTCATAAAGTTGAAATCAGTGTAGAGATCTACTGCACTTAGCACAAAGAACAAGGTCCGGATTTTTAACATTAACGTCAAGTCAGTGCTGCTATATCGTTCAGAAACTTGGCGCACCATCAAAAGCACTTCCAACGAACTACAGACATTCATCAACAACTGCCAACGCTCATTCGATATTGAAGATCAGATGACCAGAAAGAATAAGCAACAAGGAACTCTGGTTGGCGACAAACCAAGAACCTATCACCCAACAAATATGCAGAAGGAAGTGATGTATTGAACATACAATGAGAAGGCCATTCGGGGACATCACGCGTCAGGCCAGACACTCGAGTCGAACCCAGATGGGAAACGACGAGTTGAGAGTCCCAGCTGACGGTGACATGGAGGAGATCGTGTGAGAAAGAAATGAGAGCTTGTGGGCAGTCGTTGTGCCAGGTTTTGAAGACTGCAGAGAACAGAATGGAATGGAGACGTGCTACTGAAGCTTTATGTTCCACTAGTAACGCAAGGGAAAAAATAAACAGTAATAATAATATCACTTTACTAATGTTTCGGGTTTTGTAACCAAGACTTCACAGTTATTTTAAGTCAAGACCGGCTGAGAATTGTAATCCTTCTCGAGGTAAACGTTTTGCATGCTTTGGTTGGTTTGTAGAGCATCCAAATATTTTGATGAAGAGACTTTTAAAGTTCTTATGACCACTTAAATAAGGCCTCGTTTAAGAAGTGTCCATAGGTAGCTAGTCTGTGCTTCAAAAACGGTTGCTAGTGACAAATCTTGCTCCCCTACCCTGTGAAATACGATTAGTAAGGCCATGCTTCCCCCCTTCTCCCCCCCCCCCATTTTCTAATGGTAAAAAGAAAAGCAATTTAACTTCCGTTTTCAGTGGGGACTTTGACATTGATTTATCTAATCATTTTACTCCTTCTAGGACTGATCACCTCAGGGATCATAAGAAATAGATGTAAACGCTGCAGACCGCTTAACTTCCAGTGGAATAACTTTTCTTTTGAGAGGGGACCAACGACTGGAAGTTGCTACTAGGAAAGGCGATGGCGGCTCCTTCGACGAACGAATTTAAGAAAAACGGAATATTCACAGAGAAACTATTGCAGAGATAAACGTTAGCTAATAGTATACTATTCTTTTCGCTACCAAAAACCTAAAATAAAACTTATGGCCCCCTAGAAAAAGTATAATATCTCCTTGAAAAATCCAATACTTCTTTCTCGAAATAGTCAAAAGTTCCTAAATTTTAGGAGTTTTGACAGTATGTTTAGGGTTTATGAAGAATCACTTTACTGCATTCAATAAAAAAGGATTTAGATGTAGAAGTCCTCCTTTAGAACATAAAGGACAGGGTTTGCATAATTGAAGAGCCCTAACGATGCACGACTTGATAGAAAAAGAGCTGAAAGCCTTACGATCTGCTAAAAAGTTAGTAAGTACATGTTGCGTATATGAGCAGAATATGCCTTGGATGATACCAGAAGTGTACAAAGAATGCCAAAGCTCTAAATTGTTGTGTGCTTGAATGTTCAACCGGCAAGCACTTTTCCAAAGGAATTCTGAGGAAACTGGAACTTTAAATTAACATACGCAATTCCGAAAAATTTCCGAAGTAACGCATAATTTAAGAGAAAAACATAGAACCGAATCCGTGTCTTCATTTGTGTTTTGAGATTCCTCTTTATTACCTCAATATACGCTTTATTTTCCCTTTTTGGTCTACATAAGTCTGAGGAAAATGAGGACGTCCTCAGTTACTACTAACTGTCGTATCTCCTAAAAGCTTTCCTGTAGCGGTAGGGTATAAGAAACAAGAGGCTGATGTAACCTGTCTGTTTTCCTTTGTCAATTTGATTCGAAATCGCAAAAATGAAATAAAACAAAGTCAAAACTGTAGAACACCTGAGTTTGTAGCTCCTTAGTTTATAACATCTACATAACGAAGCGATTAGTGTCCAGTGCCCCATACCAGTTTCAATATCCAATATTGATGGTGCGAGTGTAGAAAACTGATAGCTTTTGATCTCTCGCGTCTAGTTCTAACAGCTTGGTTTGAGTTGGTTGGTTCACTTCTGCAGGGGACGAAAAAATCCCCTCTGCTTTATTCCTTTTAGCTTCGGTGAGGTGGATTTTTGTGGGTTAGTAAGTTGCAATTTGTTGAGTGATTGGGGAGCTACAGGTTGCTGGGACTTTTAGGGAACTGCCGTGACTCCTGTCTGTGTAGGTACCTGAAGGAGAATGGTAAGGTAGTGGTAAAAGAATGAAGAGGGAATAAAAAAGGGAAGAAAATAATGATAATAAGGGAAGAGAAAAGGGAAGGAGGAGGAAAGAAGGAATGAAAAGAGAAATGAGAACGAAAGAAAAGTATTCGGGAATTGCGCGAGTGGTCGTGTGGGTTTGGTTCCTACAGAAGAATTAGTAGGTAATGTGGGTGTATTAAGGAGAGAGATAGCGAGTGGTAGTTAGGAGGGAGTTGGGGGTACTGAGGTTGGTGACTACCTGAGTACGTCCGTGGTAGTCCATGCGAGGTGACATAACTGTCTAATCGTCTCTTGAAAGAGTCGATTGAAGGCGCTATAACGATATGTCGCGGTATGGCATTCCATGAAGCACACACTCTCTGGGAGAAAAATTCGGACCTGAGTATGGTGTTGGCTCTCTGGTGTGCTATCTTAATGGGGTTTCCTCTTGAAGATCGTTGAGTTGCGGGCAAAACTGATTTGTTTGCATGGTCTGCCTGATGGGCCATCTTGTATGCCATTATAAGGTCACCCCTCTCTTCTACGATAACCGCAGGTAAATAGGTTTAGGTGTTTAAGTCTTTCAGGATACGTCTTTCCACTTAACCCCACAACAGATTTTGTTGCAGTTCCTTGTATTCTTTCAAGGGGATTAGAGTCTCTCTTGAGTGTTGGAGGAGCCACCGTATTGAAGACATCCAGATGCGGCCACACATAGGATTTGAAAATGGTGAGGGAGAGTTCGAGAGTGAGGGCTCCAAGCTGTCTACGCAAAAAGTGCAGGATGGCATTCGCCCTGGTTGTCATACCTTTGTAGTTGGAGCTGGTGTTCAAGGTGTCGAAGAAGTTGAGCCCTAAATCTTTCTCCATGGACACTCTGGTGATAGCACGGTTGCTCGACCTGTACTGGAAGTCGGTCGTACTTGCCTCATTTTTACTAATGTGCATTACTTTGCACCTTTCCAGGTTGACGCTTAGGCCATTTTCCGACGACGAGTTGCTGCAAGTCCTTTTGTAGAGCTGTACAATCAGCTTCTTCGTTTACCACCCCCCAAATTATAATGTCGTCAGCGAGGAGGAGGATGGGTGAGGATATTTTATCTGGCAGACCGTTGACAAACAAGAGGAACAGAAGAGGTCCCAGGATTGCTCCTTGGGATACTCCCGACATCGAGGGTCTCCACTCCGACCTTATTCTGTTTGCTTTAGTGCAGAACTGCCTCCCTTCCAGGTACTCCTTGAACCAAGAGAGTAGGGGTTCACTTATACTAGCCGACATGATCTTGTAAGGCAGTACTGTAGGTGGGACACTTACGAATGCTTTGGCTAGGTCGAGAAATACAACATGTACCGGTTTTCCGTTGTCCCAGCTTTGTGTCCCAGATGGTGTCAGCTACCAGGCTTTCCAACACTTTCGACACAACAGGAAGTAGAGCAATTGGCCTTAGCTGCCAGGGCTTTTTCTGTCTCCTCCCTTGAAGATGGCTGACAAGATGGCGCTCTTCCATTCTTTAGGGAGTTTGCACGAGTCTATTGAGTGCTCAAAAAGGTTGCGAAGTGGTTTATTAAGCACCTCGGCGCATTTTTTTAGAACCATTGGTTTTAGGTTGTCGCAGCCAGCGGACTTGCCTGGATGTAGCCTAGATAGTTTCTTGAACACTTTTTTCTCTGTAATAGAGACGTGAGAGAGGTATTCGTTATTTACCACCTGGTCGGTGTCGCAGCGAGTCGGTGTGGATCTTGTGTCAGTGCTAAGTTGGGCTTGGAAGTGTGAGCTCAAAAGCTCGGCAATCTCTAGACTGCCCAGTATACTCCCGTCATGGCCTGTGGTAGGATTCACTCACTTACTGGTCGACTTTCTTCTCGACATGAAGCGGTACAAGTTTTTAGGATTGCTTTGTAACCTCCCCGCCAAGTTTGTTTGATAGGAATGTCTGTCGCTACGCACTCTAATGTTACAACGGTTGCGAATCCTTCTGTGATTTATGACTCCGAGCAGGTATTTGGTACAGTGGAGAGTGAAGTAGCATCATAGAGATTCTGGGAGCTGGATTAAGGCCGTATCGCTAACCACCCTTGCCTTTAAACGGGAGGTTACGTAGAGAGCCACTCCCCCTCCTGCTCTATGTTCCCTGTCCCTGAGGAAGAGTTCCATGCAAGCAACATGCATCTCTTCACCGGAGATGTGTGGCGAGAGCCAGGGTTCGGTGATGAATATGATGTCGGAGTGCTGATGTGCACGCAGCGTCCTCATTTCTGCTACCTTCCCCTTAGCCCCCTAACGTTGCTGTACATACATATTAGAGTGTGCCTGGTGAGAGGGGAGGTCTGGTTGTGTATTTTCGCAGGATGAGCGCTTACATGGTCGGTTCTAGCGTCGCCAGTACTCATAGGACTGGCATTGTTCCATTTTTTGAGTTTTGTTTTTAACTTGGGTGGGGGCCGTAGCAGTGGTGGCTTCTTTACTTGATGCATCTGACTCACTGGTCAGCGCCTGTGTGACGACCGCTGACTCCAGAGGTCTTGGTGGTTGCCGTTTCTCCTTCGTCTTGTGGGTTTAGGCTTACTTTCACACACACGTATTGAGCCACCCATGCGATCTTTCGCATTATACCATGCGTGCAGAACGTCTGTGAGGGAGGCATATGAGTCAACCGGGATGGCGAGTAGTCTGGGATTGGGTATGGACTCCAGATGCGCTGGCCTTGATAGTCTACTGACGCCAGTATACCGTCGAGACCAACTTTGGTTGAGGGGCACTGCCATTGTTGGACGTCGTGAAAGTACCGATCTTTAACCGAGTGGTCACTTGGCAATTCTGGAATCCCATGTACAACTATAGTGTTGTTTCTGTTGGGATTTCCAACCGCTGACTTTCTCTCCTCCTCTCTTATTGACCATGACTTGTCAGGCCTGGCCCGAATTTTACAGGCAATAACAACGTCCGGTCGTCGCGAGAGAAGGAGGGTGTCTTCAGCCTCTTTGGCGGTATTTAGGGACACACGTAAAGAGGGCGGCTTATTTCGGGGTGCACGGCTTCCTCGAGAAAGGCGGCACAAAGTTGCAGGGAGGAGAGGGAGTCACAGCATCTGACAGTGATCGGTCCACATTCGGTTGTCAAACAGTTCCCTGTCAACCAACAGTCAGTCTGTCGATACATCGAAGTTGAACAAAATGATCGAGCTGGTCCTCCTGTGACCTTGGTTCGTTGTGTCTGGCACGCCCGACTTCCAATGGGTTTGAGTAGTTCCACTGGTTGTTTCTCAGTCACAGTGTGTGTGGTGCTTGGAATGGGTTTCGTAGAGGCTTCAGCGGTCGATATCTTTTGCCATGAGCTTGACGTTCCCTGAGGCCAGGTAGGAGGTATGGAGACTTGACCTAATGTGGTCCCCACGCGAGGTGGCTTGCCCACAGCTGGAGCTCTAGGTCTGTTTCCAGGTCTCTCTGTGTTATCCTTTAGTGTTAACCCTACTTTATTCGAGGATGCTGGTAGCTTTTGCATGGCGGAGAGCATCTCCTTCAGGCTTTCTGTGAGGAGTGCTAGCATTTTCCTGCACTCTGGACAGATGTACCAGAACCACTTGCATGGTTGTCTCTTCATCAGCTTATAGTATTGTCGGGGGACTTTGATGTCGCAGTGGCAATGTGCCCATCGGTGACATAGGTTGCATGCAAATGCCTCATCGACTACCGAAACAACTTTGGTGCAAACACTGCAGCCATCGGGTGTCGTAATACAGCCTTCCTTCCATGAATAAGGTGCTACGGATTGTGGCGAACTGCTTGTGGCTGCCTTGTTCTGAAGCCTTTTACGTCGTCTTCTATTTTCAGGCATGGTATGATCCTTGCTCAAGATAGGACTAGTTTGTGACGGGCTAGTGCTTCTCTGTGTCACCTGTCTGATGGCGACTGGAATTCTAGAAACATGGGTTGGCCACTTCTTCAGAAGTTCGGTGTTCTGCCCTACCTCTGTTTGTCTTCTAGTACAGACTAGTGTGTTGTCTAGGGTGTTTTGGCCGTTTTTGTTCACGACCGCGTTATCCGTGTCAAAGCTTTGTGTCTAGCGTTTTGGGCAGACATGTCGCTATGATATAAACTTCTCGGGAAAACAAATGGTTAGCAACAATAAGAGGGTTGAAGACTGAATGCAGCGAAAGGACAGAATAGATAAGGGAAGACAATTTATGTTGGCTCACCTTCAGACACTTGTCACTTGATCCCCTGCTCTTGACCAACGAGTTTAACCGTAAGCTCCAGATGCGTATGTATAACCAGGAAAGATATTTCCTGGGGAATGACCTCCCAGGAGAACCGAGAGCTAAGGCAATTCGGCAGTTGAAACGCCCAAGAACCACCGACAGGAGGTAGACCGGTTGATTCAAAGGAATAATAATGCCAATTTTCAACTGTTGAGAAGTGAGCTGACGAATACACAGGGGTGAGGTGCATGCAGGGACAGAAGTGCTGCAAACGTTCGATCTTTTTAGATTGAGTATTGCAAGTTGGAGTTTTTCAATGTGGAAAAATCGAAGAGCTGAGGTAAGAGCGAAAACACGTCACTATTCAAGGAGCTCGCGACGACGAAATAGACTGGTGCAGTGGAACAGTTTCTGGGATTCATTTCATCCTAATTTTTTGCCTTTCTTATCTCCGATAAACCCAGAGGGTAACTGGCTCCCTGTCGTAAAAAAAGGATTCATTATCTTGAGCAAGTTACGCTTCTCTGA